GGATTTGTGTAATTTCCTCAATTACTAATCTGTTATAAATATGAGCTTGTTTGAGTCCCATTTGTTAGGTTTATTAATTTGTCAACTGGACCGACATATGTAATTAATTATGTATAAAGCTATCTTAAAGTTGAGCCTAATTAAAGTGGTTTAATAAAGAATTAAATTATTGGGTTTAGAGAATCTAAACAAAGTATGAACCGGATTATATGTGTAGAGACCAGATCCATTAGAGTTGTATTTGACGATGAGCCAAATACATATGAAAACTATAAATAGGATTATGATCCCCAATTCATATGTAATTTATCATTTTTTGTGTCATCCCATCAATACAAGAATTAATAAAGTATATTGAAAAGGAAGATCAAGAAATCTACAATCAAGAATCTAGATTACAATCAAGAATCGAAAATGGATTGGAGCAATTAAATTGAAGAACAAGATAATCAAGATTATGGATAAAGAAGAAAAAATCAAGATCAAGAATTCAAGAACCAAAAGAACCAATAATCAAGATTTAAGATCTGAAATCAAGATCCAGCAATAAAAAATTATTCCCAAAGAATTAAAATATGTTCCGCACTATTAATTTTCTTGATAATTTGACATGGAGGATCTTTATCATTAAACAATAAGGGGCCGTTCTCTTTGCCATTTTCAAGCCGTTTTCTGTTTTCGATTTTTCAAAACGACGAAAACGTGTTCTCTTTGTCATTTTCGAAAACGACTTTTGGAAAACAAAAAAAAAATTCCTACAGAAAACACAAAACGGCAGAATTGCCATTTTGGACGTTTCCTTCAGTAACTCGAAAACACGGGAACACAATCTGGAAAACACGGAAACTGCCCAAAACTCTCCTCCTTTCTTCTGCCACTCCATCTCCACTTTCCCCTCTAAACTCTGGCCAACCTCATCCAAAACGGCCAGAGTTATATACCATTACGAATCCCTCAATTCCCTCTTCAATTACCACACAAAAAACAATCCAATCATATACCAAAATCGAAAAAAAAAAATCCTCAAACAGTGAGTGGTACTGAAGGCAGTTTTCATAAGATCAGATCAGCCGATTTTGGAATAATCAAAGGTGACCCATGGTAGTATTGGATGCGCCTTGTTCAGAGGAGTGGATTGGTGGTGGTCCGCTATCGGAAAGGTAGTCGGCGACGGTGTTTATAGGCCGAAACAGTGAGTGGTACCGCGGTTGTTTTTGGCTGATTCCGGCTGATTTTGGAACAAATAATCGGTTGAAGTTGTAGAGGGAGGTCGGGAGTTTAAATGATGTTGGGATCTAGTGGTCCAGGTGGTGGGTTGTGGTCGGATTGTATGGGAGAAGACGTTTCTCTGGAGGGGGCGATTTCCGGCAGGTTGATGGAGAATGGAAAATAAAAAACATGTGAACGCGTTTTTTAGAAATTGTTTTTGGAAATATTTTTACAAAACGACAAAAAGAACGTGTTTTCGACAACCTAAAAATAGTCACTCAAAACACAAAATACAAAATGAATTCAAAACACAAAACACAAAACTGAAATACAAAGAGAACGAC